GGCGGAGTGGTACCGGATTGGTAAAGGTGACGTCGCGGATCTAGGTCCCTCCTGGCTCCTGGTCCCTAAAAGAGGAGTCTGCCATGATGAAGTTTGTGGGGACTGCCTGGTCCCTAAAGAGAGAGGTCTGTCATGATGACGTTTGTGGGGACTGTGGATGTCGTTGTCCCGCCAGACAACGTGTACCCCACCTCTCTAGCCATACGGATGCAGCAGTAGACCAGCGTTGTGGATTTGTATCCGATCCCCTCTTGTCCCGCAGCGCAGCATGCGGTTCAGGAGGCTTGGGTCAGTTATCTCCAACCGTTCTCCATTGCACGGACACTTCCCAACCACCTCCCAAGGCAGCCCCCCATACGGAAGGCCAGCACTATCGAGAAATAGCCTGGGGATAGTGTGGAGTCTGGTCTGGTCGGGGTTACATGCCACCAATCCCCCGCCCCTGTTCCTCTTCGGCTGCCCAGGCGGATGCGGTGACCATTGTCTGTCCCTGAACGATCGATGAAAGTCTCGTCCAGGAAATCAAGGGTTCGTGCCTTGTTGATGGCACATGAGAAGGCCAACTGTAAGTGTCTTGGGTGGGGGTTGGAGCACGGTCAATTAGCAGTTGCCTACCCTCCTATGGAAGTCTCCCCTCCATGTCATATAGGGTATCCTCGAGCAGCGACAGTGGGTTGGCACCTGACGCAGCAGCCACCGCTCTTAGTGGGCGTGTTGGTGCCAGTGGTAGTGAGGGAAGTAGTTCGGTTTCCGCGATGGTAGATGGGAGGAAAGCCGGTGGTTCTTCAGATAGTGGGTCTATCATGCCGCCCAAGGCCGATGAGTAGGGTAGCTTGCCGCCACAGCAGGCTCTGGTAAAGTTCATGCCTCGGCCAATTTATTCCCGCCGCCGCAAGAGCCACTCGTAGAAGCCCTTCGCTGCAATCCTGCCATGTGGCTATGCTAATGGACCCTGTTGGTGTTGTGCGGAGGAGGTAGGACGCCCTCTTACAGATGCAGCGACTTATCAGTAAGAGCAAGTGTTGTGAGTTCAACTGAGAGAGGTGAGGTAGAGGTTCCGCTGCCTCTTAGAGCTGGCACTGTAGGAATTTTTTCGATAACTCCGCTGTGCCTACAGAGCTACTAAGGACTCCTACGCCTGATCAGACCTGTGGCAGCTCCGTCTGGAATAGCCTGTCCAAAATTGCATCTGCATTCTAGTAACATGACTTCGCCACATTGCAGCGTAACCCGCACTGGAATGAGAACCCGCGAGATGCGGCTTCCGAGGGGTCAGTCAGCATGATGTCATCTGCGTAGGCTAGAAGCGTAACCTCGGTGTGGTTGGTCGTTGTCCGAATCAGGGATGGCTGGATTGCCGCTGCGAATAGGATTGGTCCAGGTGGGTCCCCTTGGCGGACCCCGCGATTGCTAGTGATGGACTGCCCTCCTAGGCTTGCGTTGAGCAGCACCAGTGACGGCGACCCATAGATCGTCAAGACGAACAGGAGCAGCTCATGGATCTCTGACCATCTCAACGCGTCGAAGAAACTAATTCGATGTACAAAGTGAAACGCATTTTCAATGTCTAGCAGAAGATCATGTTCGTCGAGTGTAGCTGGCGTAGGGCGCGGACCGAGTGGATGGTAAACTCCGACCCGCCCTGGACTACTACCCCGATTTGGATGGGAACAAAGAATTCGCAGATCTGCGTGCCAATTGTTCTCAACACCACCTCACCAGTTACGCAGTATCGTTTCCCCTTTCGCAATTGGGCGAACCCCTCCGTACGGCTTTGACATAGCAATTAAGTGCGAGGGGAGGAGGATATCCCTCACTCTCGTGGCTACCGTCGAGTTAAACAGGTGGTTAATGGCCTAGAGCAAAATAATAAGCACTTCTTTGCTAGCGAGGGCTGGCTCTCGCAGATGTTCAAAGCATATGCCTGACAGCCCCTCTCCTACTCCATCGAGGGAGCGGATCAATACATCGTGGAGGGTCTTGTCGCTGATTGCTAGGTTGGACGAGCTTAGTTCTGTCTCAAACAGTCCTTCATTAATTTGTGTAAGAGGTACAAGCAAGGAAGGTGCAGGTAAAAGCTGCTTAGTTCAGGTGTTTCACACTTTGTCCTGCGTTGGGTTAGGGTTTGCTATATGTCAAATTACAATTCTGCTTGTTAGGCTATAGTGGGGCACACCTTATAGAGTAGAGCATTACTACGATTAGTACTTGTATCCCAACCCTTGGTAGTTCTATCATTCGTGCACAGATTATTCTGACATGGTTTCAGAGCAGGAAACCTGTAAGGTTATTTTTTTTGGGGCCCACCAATAGGTCTGCTCGTTCCTGCCCAAAGCGCCCTTGCGCTACCCTGCCCGTGCTGTCCGCGACCTGCCCGCGCGCTCAGTTGCACGTGCTCCGCGCGTCCTACTGCCCGGGTTGCCCCTACAGCCGCGCTCGCCCCTACAGCCCGCGCTCGCCCCTGCAGCCCGCGTTTGCCCCTGCAGCCGCGCTCGCCCCTGCAGCCCAAGCTCGCCCCCACAGCCGCACTCGCCCCTATAGCCAGCGCTTGCCCCTGCAGCCACGCTCGCCCCTGCAGCTAGTGCTCACCCTTGCAGCCCACGTTGGCCCCTGTAGCCGCGCTCGCCCCTGCAGCTCGCGCTCGCCCCTGCAGCCTGCGCTCGCCCCTGCAGCCCGCACTAGCCCCTGCAGCCGGGCTCGCCCCTGCAGCCCGCGCTCGTCCACTGTTACTTGACGAGGTTTCAGCATCTACAGCAGTAGCAGCAATAGCAGCAGTAGCACTAGCAGCAGCTACAGCAGTTGCAGCGGCAGCAGCAGCCGCCGCCGTAGCAGCACTGCAGATGCGGCCGACGCCGTTTGTGAGTGGACTTCATACCCTTGGATTTCCTTCCCCTTCTCCAGACCGCTCGCCGTCTCCTCCTGTCTAGGGTCCCACGTTTCCTCCTCCTGACTCATCTCCGGCTTTGTCTCCTCCTCGGTCACGGTTGTCTCCTCCTATTGTTGAGTCCCATGAGACTACTCGTCATCCTCCGGGTGCTCGTCTCCTGTTCAAAACCTCTATTCTTTGTTCCTTTGTACTCTCCCTCCTCGTATAGATTCTCTTCCTGTCCTCCCGGTTCCTCCTTCGTCGGCTCTCACTATTTCCGTAGAGCCTCTCACTGACTGCTACCTTGATAATCGCCCTTTCTTGTCACGTATCCTACTGCCTCTATGTCCTCGATGTACGCTCTTGTTGTCGTAGTCACTGACATTGCAGCCACCCGCCATCTTGACTACACCACCTGCTTGCTTATCGTACCCATCCTATGTCCGCCGAGGTGAGTTTGCCTCGGCTTTGAAGTTATAGAGGATGGACAGTTTGAGCTGGAGTTCCTTGCGGTCGCTTCTCCCCAACTCTGTGCCATGTTGCTGGCCCCTGGGGGAGACCCTGTCGCTCTAGACATTTCGCCTCCTTGTACTTCCACTGAGGTAGTTTCAAGACAGTGGGCCTCTCCATAAATAGCAGCCATAGATGCAAAGATGGCATCTAGGAGGTCCATGTGCACGTACGTCAATGCATTTTTCCATCCCTAAGCGAACGTAATCAATGGCATGTGGATCTTAAAGGTGAAGCGGCCACATAGATCTTCGACTGCCTTCAAGGCGTGCTACGTGTCGAGAGGCTTTAGTCGGCTCGAGAGAGTAGACTTCTTTCATACCTTCTCCCCCGACCCAAAGATGTCTACTCGTTGGGTACTGCTACATGTTGCAGCAGAGCGAGTCTACGAGCTGCACTCGCTAGAATTTTCCACGGCCTTCCTTCAGAGCAGCCTACGCGAGGAGTCATGGCTTCACCATCCTCCTAGCTTCACTTGCTATTGACTACTGCCTCACTGCTCCTGCTCTTGACGAGCTTGTTGACCCTAGTTGTCCGTATGCAGAGCTTGTGGGTTGCTTCATATACCTGGCGACCTGGACTCGTACGGACCTCGCCTATCCTCTCAGCATCTTGGCTCGTTTTGTTGCGACTGGGAGACACCGTTATGTTCACTGGATGGCCGGTAAGAGGGTAGCGAAGTATCTGGCCGATACATTTGTGCGACTTACCAGGCATACTTACGAATGGTGGGCATGACGACCTCGAGACCTACAGGTCTTCTTATGTCTACTGTTTCAGCCTCGGCTCTTGTGCTATTTCTTGGAGGCCTACTCGATCGTTGTCGATTGCCTCATCTAGTGCTGAGACCTAAGCCAGTTCCATGGCTGTACAAAAGCTCCACAGGCTGACTTAGGTGAGGGACATAGCTCTGCCCGACCTTGATCACTAACAACAATGCTATGATCCTCCTTTGTCGAAGCTCCCGACTAGAGGGCAGAGTTGAGCATATTGACCTGCGGTACATCCTACTGCGAGAGCTGCAGCAATGCGGCCAGGCTCGATTGGTTTTTGTGGCCTCAGCGGCCGACACAGCGGACATCTTCACCAAGGCTCTCCCGCTTGGTGACCACCAAAAGTTCTGCTCCGTGTTTGGCTCTGTTCGCACAGCACCTTCTTTAGTGTAGCATTGTCTTTGTTGGCCTAGTGCTTCCTTCTTTGTTTCTTCCACCTTGGAGAACCCTTGAACTGGCCTTGAGGCTGTTTGTCACTATGGCTGGCTAGTTGTACCACTTTGAGCTGCATGCTTAGTTGCCATTGTTGACTGGTCTTGTGACCTCATGTCTCAATGATTGGACTTGCTAAGCCTCCTTGAGTTGTTTCCCTTGAGTTGTTTCTCTTGCTTGTGTGATGCCCCTCACCTAGCCTACGAGGGTGTATATGCTTGTTAGCTTGTTAGGCTACACTTAGGTGCATTGTAGAGAGTACAACCCTTTTCAGGTTGACTACTTGTATCTCGTTCCTGCTTACTTCACTCACACCATTCCGCTATGCTATTCTGACACTAGATGTAGTGGTGCATATTCCCGTCTTGGGGGAAGGGGGGGGTGAGGGGGTGGATGGTTACATTCATGGATTAACAGTGTTAGTACATCGAGTGGGTTCTGTACCTCCGTCTCTTCACAAACAGTGTTGAGAGCACCTGCAGCAGCACTCTCTCATTGAGAGGCTTCTGCACGGCTCCATCCATGCCAGCCTCTGTGGCAAGGGCAGCAACAGCACTGTCCAAATCTGCTGACATGGCCACCACATGAACGCGCTGCTGCGGCTGCCATCCCCCCTCCCCGTCCCCGCCCTCTGCCCCACTCTCCACCACCACTGGCATGCGCTGCAACCCCTGTTCTCCCTGTTCTTCCCGAGCCATCTGAGTGGCGGCCTCGTGGGCGCGCAGGCGGGCGGTGGTCTGGAAACCATCGAGGCCGGGCATGAGGAGGTCCATGAGCACGAGGCGGAAGGAGTGGGTTGCCTGCAGCAGGCGCAGCGCCGCCTCGCCCGACTCTGCCAGCGCCACCTCCGCCCCGTACCGCGCCAGCGTGCTCGCTGCCACCCGCCGGTTGATCAAATTGTCGTCCACCACCTGGTGCAGCACAGGGGGTATAAAGGGGCGCGGAGGGTTGAGAATGGTTGATCAAGTTGTCGTCCACCACCTGGCAGTGCGAGGATGTATAAGGGGGGTCCGGATGGTATGAGCATGGAGGCACGGGGATGGCATTGTCGTCCACCACCTGGCAGTGCGGGGAGTTGCAAGGAGAAGATACGGGGGGTATGAGAACGGAGAGACGGCTGATCACGTTGTCGTCCACTACCTGGTTGAGGGAGGGGCATGCAGGGAGGGGCATGCACGGAGGGGCATGCAGGGAGGGGCATGCACGGAGGGGCATGCACGGAGGGGCATGCAGGGAGGGGCATGCACGGAGGGGCATGCATGGAGGGGCATGCAGGGAGGGGCATGCACGGAGGGGCATGCACGGAGGGGCATGCAGGGAGGGGCATGCAGGGGGGTTGCAGCGGGATGAGAAAGGATGGACGGTCGATGACGTTGTGGTCCACCACCTGGTGGATAGAGGCAGAGAAGAGTGGAGGTTGGAGAGGGGGTGACAACGAATAGAAGGTGCGGGAGAGGGAGAGGGGATAAGAGAGGGGATACAAGGGAGAGGGAGAGGGGATACGAGTGTAGGTACACAATGTGCCCTTCATTGCATTTCACCAGGACAGCCATTGCTCGCATCTTACCAGGATAGCCATGCCGTGAAGCAGCTCCTTAAGAGCGTCCTTGGCGCTCACCACCTTCTCACCCGCCCTCTCCACCACGCTTGTGCCCTCCGCCTTTCTACATCCCAGCCCCTCGCTCGCACTCAAGCTTCTGTTGCCCACTCTCGCAACGGGGCTGCGCTCGCCCCCCACGTCAGCACCACTACCAGCAGCAGATGGGGCAGAGTAAGTGGTGGGATGAGCAGCAGGGGAAGCAGCAGGGGAAGTAGCAGGAGGTGGAGGAGATGCTGTAGCAGCAAGGGGCACAGCGACATGCAGAGTGGTGCCGAGGCCCTCTGTGCTGATCAGACCCATGCTGCCGCCTAAGAGGGACACCTGCGACAGCGGAGGGGGTAGACGAAGCAGACAAACTGAGCTTTGCACGAGGGACACGCTTGGGATGCAACAGTTGATGAAGGATACAAAAAAAAAAAAAAAAAAAAGCATGGAAAGAGGGAAAAGGGAAGGTAAGGGAGAAGGGAATCAAAGCATCTTGCGTTTCTCCACCTTCACCGCCCAGAACCTGTCATTCTGCACCTCTAGGACCTTAAACAGTTCACAATTCTGCCCGTCCATGTCCCCTCTACTCCATCAGTGGATCCTGAACAACCAGACTCACCAGCTTTGAAACAAACTCACCAGCTTTGAAACAAACTCACCAGCTTTGAAACAGACTCACCAGACTCCACTTACCAGCTGGCGAGACAAGTGAAGGCTCATGCCGCTGCCGCCATGCGCGTGTCTTTTCTGGTGTGCCTGTTGGGGGTTGGTGTGTTGGAAGGAGGCGCAGCACACTATTGACGGGGCAGTAGTGGATGATGCATGCATGGCGACAGCTGTGCACGTCAAGGGTTTGCTTGCATCCTCCAGTGTAGGCCCACCTAATTTCGGGAGGGTGGTTCAAGCCACAAACACCACATGCAGTGGCAGCCAGCTTCAATGTGCTGCCCAACACATCAACACTGGCAACCAACTTGGCCCACGGGGCAAGTTGGCAAAAACGGACCCTAGTTCGGCCCATGACGAACCGGACTGGTGGGCCATTTGCAACGAGCTGGACCACTTTGTAACGACTCACCTGCATGAACGCCTGAAACACGTCGCGCTGCTCCTCCTCTGCGATGCCACACCCCGTGTCCTCACATGTCACCAGCACCACACACCGCCTCTCAGCATCCCCCAGCAGCACCGGGCTCTCCTCTTCAACAGGCCCCTGCCACCAGCTCCTCACTGCATCCCTCCATGTGCCCCTGCCGCCACTGCCACCTGCTGCTGCTACACTCCCTGCTTCACATGTGCCACCTACCCCACAATCTCTCCTCCCACTTGTCTCCCCCTCACGCGCACCCCCCTCACGTGCATCCCCTGCACCGGCAGCAGCACATGGGTCCGCTCTATTCAAGTCAACACCTCTCTCCTCTCTGCCATGCATCAACGAAGCCCCCCCACCTCCTCTCCAACCAGCGCCACCCTCCCCTTCTTTCTCCCTCCCACCACTCTCCCCTCCTCCTTGCTGCACACCACATGATCCCCCTGTCGTACCCCTTCCACCTACTGCCCGCACTGCTGCACCCGCGCCCTCACCTCTCCCTTGCTCCGCAGCCCCCTCACCTTCCCTGCACTCGTGTTCTGCAGCAATACACCCTTCCTCCCCTTGCTCCGCACCCTCCTCCCCCTCCCCCTCCCCCTCCCCCTCCCCCTCCCCCTCCCCCTCCCCCTCCCCCTCCCCCTCCCCCTCCCCCTCCCCCTCCCCCTCCCCCTCCCCCTCCCCCTCCCCCTCCCCCTCCCCCTCCCCCTCCCCCCCCCCCTTCCCCCAGAGGGATGCGCCAGGGGCTCATGGAGAAGCGGGCGCTGAGTGAGGACAGCTGATGGCGCAGCGGCGGTTGCCAGTTGCCCATCACGGCCCACAGCAGCCCGCGCTGCTCCACCTGCTCCCTCCATGAGAAAGGCCCTGCTGCCTGCTCCACACTTGCAGCATCAGCAGCAGCAGCGGGCGAGGAGCAGCCGCGGGTGGGTTCGGCGACGAGGCAGCCGAGGGAGAGCAGGTGGGTGGGAATGTGGGTGTCGGGGGGAAGGCACTGCAGCCGCACACACACGCTTCCACTGGCCGTGAACTTGATGGCGTTGTCTGCAGTGGGTAGCATTGGTAATAGGAGGAAGAAAAAACGCAACAAGGGGTCCAAAGTTGTGTGATAGGAAGGTAAGAAGAGAAGTCTACCACGTGATGAAGGTTCATGTTCATCAAGCGGCGATGCACACAACACCCTGTTCAGCTGTGGTGGCTCACCAACAATGCTGTCCACCACTTGCTGCAGGCGCATGTAGTCCCCCTCCAGCACCTCGGGCACACTCGTATCCACACGGCATGTGACTGGGCACAGGCACAAGCACAAACGATTAGGACAGAGGTTACAACAAGAAACACACAACGCTTGCTTGAGAGACGCATAATAAATTGCTTTCTAGCACCAGAGCAAGGGGCATATCTGGAAGGGGCATAGCTGGAAGGGGCATAGCTGGAAGGAATCGAAAAGGGATGAGAGGAAGATGATTACAGTTGAGGTTGCGCGCGTGGGCGGCGCAGGCATGGGAGTGCAGCGCGTCCCTGAGCCAGGAGCGCGTGTGGAAGGGCAGGTGCTCCATGTGGAGGCGGCCGGCCTCGGCCTTGGAGACGTCAAGCACGACGTTGATGAGCGCCACGATGCGCTCCACCTCGCCCACCGCCGTCCCCACGTCCTCCCTCTGCCGCCCGTCCACCTCCTCCTCCGCCAGCTCCTCCAACATGCCTGCCGGGACAGGGGGGGGGGATGAGGGCACAACAGTACTTCATCCATTCCGTGGTTACCCTGAAAATAGTCACAGGCACCACACCACACCGTACTATGAGTCTTTGCTTTGCACGTGCATACACCGCACCGCACCACACCAGCCATCCCTTCGTCTGTGCCAAGATAGTGAGACTCCTTTCTTTAAAAACCCTGCTGCTTGAATGATACGACTGGCAAGGAGGGTGGGCCTAGGGGCAAGTGCGATGAGATACATGATCCCGTCAACCATCCACATATACATGCTTAGGGATGAGCATAGGGACCCGGCGGGTCGGGTCAGGAGTTCTGAAACGCTGACCCGGCCGGGTCGGGTCGACTCGTGACCCGATTCCGGGTCGGGTCGGGTCGGATCGGGTTTTGACCCGATTATGGACTCGACCCGGTTTCGGGTACCACGCCCTATTTCAGGTAGGGTATCTGGCCCGACCCGAGGGTTTCCTCTCGACAATGTTATCCAGATCGCAATCGCGCTTGCTTGTTTTCCCAGCGACTAGCATTTCGATCTGGATTAAGTTAGATTAACTAGCTAGTGACGCCAGCAGCCACCCACCAAGCTACATTGGCGTACTAATTTACCCTATAACCTACGATAATGTTTAATTAGTACTCAGCCAATCGTGTTTTTATAAGTTATTCACACTTCGCGCCAACCATCCTATGGGAGTCGGCCCGACCCGACCCGACCCGGGGGCGGGTCAAGCCTGACCCGGCACCCGATACCCGGGTCGGGCCAGAGATCTCAAACCCCGACCCGACCAGACCCGGAACCCGGCTGGCCCGCCCAAGTCGGGTCGGGTCGGGTCGGGTCGGGTCGGGCCATTTGATCATACCTATACATGGTCAAAGTGACGAGTCGAGCAAAACTCGACACGTCCATGGTCTTGCTCGACGAGCTTTTGCCCCGAGTGAGCAAAACTCTGACGAGCTATTTTCAACATTTTGCATACTCGTGACTCGTCGTTTTTGGGCATGCTCGGGCAAGTTTAGGGGGAAACTCGTCCGAGCACAAGAAATGCTCGACTCGCCACTCGCAAACACAAGGTTACCACGGACGTGTCCAGCTAGCTAAGTAGGGAATATCGGAGTAGACTAGCGGGGGGAGGGAAGGGGGTTGTGCGATGGGCCATAGGCCGGCGGTGCAAGGAACGATGTGACTTTCTGAAGTGGCGAGATCTGAATCTGAATCTTGAATCTGGATCTGGTGGTTGGATTGTGTAGATTCAGTGCAGTGAAGAGAGGTAAGTGGTGGCGAATTGGTTGGGAAATCGAGTAGCAATTTTGTTGGAAAAGGCATATTGGTTTTTCTCAACCAAAAAAAAAAATTGAGCGTAGTGATTGACACGACCAGTGGCGAATTGCCGAACCCTGCGGATTGGCGGGCGAAATCGCCGATCCGCGCGGATTGACGAGCGAAATCGCCGATCCTCGCGGATTGACGGGCGAAATCGCCCGCGAGTTAAAAAAGCTCGTCGAGCACAAAATTTCCACGAAAATGCTCGTCGCCCAAGGCGAGCATGCGACGAGTTTAAAAGACTCGGCGAGTAAAACTTGCCTCGCCTCGGCCGAGTTCTTTTCCCAAAAAAACAGGCTCGTCACTCAACAAAACGAGCATTTCAAACGAGTAGAGTAAAAACCCTACCCTCGCTGCCCATGTATACATCGACAAATGTTTTGTGCCTTTCAACAACCATTCGCCCCACTCGACCAATTCTTGCCCACGTACCCTTGAGGCCGATGATAATGTCTTTTTTGAGAAGCTTCAATGTACCAATGCGGAAATGTAGTCAAACTTAATACTTCGCGGGCTATATTGAGAGCACTCACAGTGTTGATAAGCAGGACGCATTTTAAGTGAGCATATTCAGTGCATGCTCCTTCCATGCTTGCACTTTCATACGTGTGTCTCTCTGCATGTGCAAATGTGCCCGTGTCTGTTCATTGCTACGGTACGGTGGACCGCCATTGGAATCAGCAATAAGAGCACCAGTCAACTCAACCTCGTTGACGTAGGCTCTGAGAGGTACCCATTCTGCTTTTACTGTGTCTTGGCCTCACTTTCACGAATATTGATGATGAGTTAGGCAGCACGCATGACGTCTATCATGCGCCATACTTGCATTGTATCAATACAGGTATGTGGTTATGAGTCACACACATAAGAAAGTGCAAGCATCGAAAGAGCATGCACTGAATGTGGTAACTCACAATGCGTCTTGCTTATCAGCACTGTAAGTAGTACTCTCAACACCGCCCGTGAAGCATTGAGTTAGACAAACAATTTGCCTTTGGACATTGACTCCTTGCATAGCAGGTGGTAGACCTTGCATGGTTGGAAATTGCTCAGAAAGGGTTGTGCCCATTGCTGGCATCAATAACACATACTTCGCCCTGTGCCCTTCCAGAAACCACTCGCACCACTCGGCCGGTTCCTACCCACGCACCCTTGAGGCCGATGATGGGGGTGCGCAGCTCATGCGCCGTGTTGGCGATGAAGGCACTCTTGTTGCGCTCCGCCGCCTGCGTTCTCTCCTTGAGCATCGCCAGCGCCGCCACCTTCTCCCGCACGCCGCGTGTGTTGCACGCCACACTCACTCCAATAGCCGCCAGCAGCGCCGCCACCACCACGATCACCACCGCCAACAGCACGGTTGTCCAGCTGACGACCGCGTCCGCGCCGCTAAAGCTGAGAGCGGAGGAGTGCATGGGTGAGGAATGGAGGATATTGATGTGATGTGATGTGATGTGATGTGATGTGGCAGAGGAATATGTTGTAATCGGCGTGTCCAACGTCTTGGTTGCCAGTGTCAAAACGCTGGATGTCAGATACCAGAAACCATAGACACTAGAAAACCGCTAAGCGGGCAGGCAAAAAAAATCCAGGCAGGCAAACAAACTAGGGGAATGGGCTGATCATTCGACAAATTCGGAAAGTCTAGGCAGTGGAAATCTAAATCTCTATGTTCAGGACTTGCACAACTAGATAAGCAACTTCACAATGGCAAGAATCTGACTTATGTCGAAGCTGATATTGACAGAGGTTGGGTTGGGATTAGGTGTGAGCACAGGTCAGACCAAGCATTCAAGATTTGGGGTCTAGAGCTCGTATGTGCAAACAAATAATTTCTGTTGCGTGAGCCAATATTTATCTCAAAACACCCAGGTTTAAGTAGAGCGTCTCACTTTTTGACACACGAGTTTTTTACGCTTGACGACGCCAAGGGCACTCGTTGTGAAGTCCAACTTAGGTGGAAGGGGGGGGGGGGGGGAAGACAAGACGGAAGGGACAAGCGGATCAATAAACTACTCCTCAGGGCAACTTACCGGCACCAGAGCTGGTACGATCTTGATGTGTCGGTGAGGTTGATCTGCTGTACGGACTTGTGGCGGTGTGGCTGCAGCATGGTTTGGTTGGAAGGCGGAATGAGCTTGGCCACTTGCATGGGGTCGCCTTGAGGCAAGTCGCCCACCCCGTACAGCAGGCGCGGGCCCAGCGGGGTGGAGGAGTTGGGGAGGAAATCCGTGGGGGTGACGTCATACACCTCCAGAGAATAGTCCGCGCCTGCACCAGCGGAAGGGGGAAAAACTCTTTTTTTTTTTTTGTTTGAACATGGAGGTATGATTGTTTATGTGAACTACACTCTGCAGCAAGCATCTGAGGGGAGCAGCAATGCACCTTGGCGGAGGGGAGGAGCAGGGGGCACCTTGGCGGAGCACTTCGCTAATGATGAAGGCGGCGAGGCTCTTGAAGTCGATGGACGCCGCTATCAGCCCCACCAGCGCTGCTCGCCTCTCCTCCAGCGGCGACGACGTGGTGACGCCGTCCCTGAAGATTGGAAAGCCCATGCCTGCCCTCGCAGTGGAAGGGAGAAAAAGGAGGTTGGGGGGAAAGGGGGAGCAGAACACGGACGAAGAGGGTGGGTGAGGGCGTGATAGAGAGAGAAGTAAGAGAATGGGATGGGAACGGGGAAGCACATAAGGACTGGGATAGGCATGAGCACAGGTCGGGCCGAGGGCCGGCCTGGCCCGACTAAAGGATGGTCCGGGCCAGCTTTTCTGGAAAGTCGGCCTGCCCGGCCCGAACCGGGCCGAGCCGCGGTCCAATGGGCACGGAACCAAGTTGCGCGCGGCAACCTTCTAAATCAGCTGGATCAGAGCTTGTGTGTGATTTAGTTTCGGTGCATGCGTTCGTGCGGGGGTGGACATGTCAACCCGACCCAACTTTGCTCGACTGAGGCGGGTACGGGCTTACAGGCTTAAAGGGGTCAGCCGGCTGTGAGCCGAAGGAGGGAGGGCAGGGCGGGTCGAATATCCAATTCAACTCAGATACATCGACTCACCATTTCGCCCACCAATCCGCGCGTGTGGGTGGGTGTGCATGTGTGTGAGTGTGTGTGAGTGTGCGTGCGTGCGTGCGTGCGCGCGTGTGAGGGATGGGTGTGTGTGTGCATGTGCGCACACACCACAAGTGGGGCACAGTCACACACAGTAGCCTACCATGCTACCAGATGTACTAACACTCACACCCACGCCCCTCGCCCTCACCCACGCCCCTCGCCCTCACCAACTCCCCTCACACTCACCGTCGCCCCTCATCCACACTCACCGTCGCCCCTCATCCACACTCACCGTCGCCCCTCACCCACACTCACCCATGCCAGTCTCCCCGTTGACCAGCACGTAGGGCATGCTGAGCTGGTTGGCGGGCAGCTGGTGCATGCAGCTCACACCACTCGCACTCGCCCATACCACTCGCCCTCACATATATACCCCTCCCTCACCCATACTCACCCATGCCAGCCTCGCCATTGTCCAGCACGTAGGGCATGTTGAGCTGGTTGGCGGGCAGCTGGTGCATGCGGGAGAGCCCGGGGCCGTACGAGGGGTGTGTGCGCACGTTGACACACGTGGACGTCAACTTGAGCAGCGGTATGGGCGGGTTCTCCTGGAACCACACGCGCGAGTTCATGTACCAGTCTGCCTCCGGGGCTGGCTTGCCCAGAATGTCCAACAGCTTGCACTGCGCCTGCTGCTCAAAGGCCGCCCTGCAGTGAGGGAGGAGAGAGGGGGGAGGGGGGAGGGAGAAAGAGAGGGAGAGAATGAGGAGAACAGGGTTCAGGGAAGAATCAAGAGCTGCTGGAATTACTATTGAAACGCTTCATACAACCCTTGCAAAAAGCTCGTCCTCTCATTGCAGAGGGCCAGATCATTCCCACACAGCATGGCACAGCACTTATTCGGAACCTCACAAAAACCAGGGGACTCTCTTTGCACGACCTTGGGTCTCTCGTGGATGTGAGACAGAGAATGGATGGTGGGGGGAAGGACGGGAGGAAGGGCAGCGAGGGAGGGGATGAATGGGCGAGGGAGGGGAGGGGAGGGGAGAAAGAGGCGAGAAAGGGGAGAAAGGGTGAAGGAGGGGAGAAAAGGGCGAGCGAGGGGAGAAAGGGGCGAGGGAGGGGAGAAAAGGGGAAAGGGGGGAGAAAGGGGCGAGGGAGGGGAGAAAAGGGCGAGGGAGGGGAGAATAGGGCGAAGGGAAGGGGGAGGGGAGGGGCGAAGGGAGAGGAGAAAGGAGCGAGGGAGAGGAGAAAGGGGCGAGGGTGGGGAGAAAGGGGCTAGGGAGGAGAGAAAAGGGCGAGCGAGGGGAGATTAGGGCGAAAGGGGGAGGGGGGGGGAAAGGGGCGAGGGGAGGGAAGAAAGGAGCGAGGGAGATGAGAAAGGGGCGAGGGAGGGGAGAAAGGGGCGAGGGAGGGGAGAAAGGGGCGAGGGAGGGGAGAAAGGGGCGAGGGAGGGGAGAAAGGGGCGAGGGAGGGGAGAAAGGGGCGAGGGAGGGGAGAAAGGGGCGAGGGAGGGGAGAAAGGGGCGAGGGAGGGGAGAAAGGGGCGAGGGAGGGGAGAAAGGGGCGAGGGAGGGGAGAAAGGGGCGAGGGAGGGGAGAGACGGACGAGGGAAAGGAGAAATAAGGGAACGGTTCGGAGGAAGAAAAGGAGGCAGGGGAATGGGACGAGGTAGGGGAAGGTGGGGAGGAAAGGGAAAGGCGGGGGGAAGGAGGAGGGGGGAGTATGAGGCGACCTGTCAGAGCCGTTGATGACGGCCATGTACCCCACGGCGTGCACCCATGGCTGTGCCGCCACTGTGCGCTCCACGAGGTGCACGAAGCGCCGCTGCGTGAGACAGCTGCCCACCGCCCAGGGGTTGGTCCTCACGCCGCCGAACACCGTCGCCAGCCCCGCCAGCACCTGATGGGCGCATGGGGGGGAACGAGTGGGCAGGGCGCGTCATTTCGTGGCGTGACGACCCCTCTCCTCACGCTGACTGGGATGGACCGCCGCTCACACAGCGCACAGCACACATCACACAGCACTCGACCTACACAGCACGTGGCCTACACAGCACTCGACCTACACAGCACGTGGCCTACACAGCACTCGACCTACACAGCACGTGGCCTACACAGCACTCGACCTACACAGCACGTGGCCTACACAGCACTCGACCTACACAGCACGTACAGCACGTGGCCTACAAAGCACTCGATTTAGACAGCACTCGACCTCCCCTACCCTACCCGTCTCCCTTTCGCTGACAGAAACCGTGGTGAATCCAAATTTGCATTATCTTCGACCCTCGAATTTGCCACGACCCTCGATTCTGCATTATCTTCGCACGTACGAGATCGCCTCAAGATCGTGTCTCCGCCCTCGCTGGTAACAATCGCCAACCTATTTTCGCCATCAGCAGGGTTTTCGCCGTTGCGTGTGGGTAGCGTGGTTGATTTATGAGCGTAAAGACTCGTTGACTCGCTCCTCACGAAACTCGCCCCTGCCGCGCGCGCGTGCGCTCAACCTGGATGGTCGCGCCGCACCGCAACCTAGACTAAAAAATGCGGAAAATGTAAAATGCAGCTCCTGAACAGTGAGCGCAATGAATCTTAGTTGATAATGACCTACAAACAAACGCGTGGGAGAATTGCGAGCTTAAACGAGCGCGTACGGCTCCCGAACGGTACAACCGTTCCGCGATATTTCGCGACGACGCCCACGCCAATCGCCGCGCCGGCGGCCCGACGGCAAACGGACGAGCGAAAAAAACCCCAACATTTCCGAGTAATAGTACCTGCACGTGTCGGCGCGTCTATACCTGCACGTGGTCGGTCGTCTACCTACGTGGTCGGCCAGCGTGTACCTGCACGTGGTCGGGCGTGTACCTGCACGTGGTCGGCGGTGAGCATGAACTGCTGCTGCAGCGAGCGCGCGCGACCGGCGCACCAGGTGTCGAGCTCCGCCTTGCGATTGTCGTCGAAGCCCTTCTGCACCCTCCACGCCACCAGCCCCGCCAGCACGCCCGCAAGCCCCATCCACACCGCCACCGCCATAGTCATTCCCACTGCCCCCCGACTCGGCATCGCCCTAAGAGGTTTTCTGCCCATCATTTAAACCATATTATAGCGAAAGGAATCTTTCCACGTCTCTCAGTGCTCTTGAGGAGTCCTCTAAGGACGACAGAGACTCTTACTTGTGCAGTAGTCCGGTTCCTTATCAAACCGCAAGAACGCAAATCCCAAATCTGACACGCTTTCAGTTTGAACATGTGGCGCTAGCCTTGGTCTGTGACAAGAGGAGTTTTCGCCGCAACGTCGTACTGTACTACTATGGAGCCATTTGGCTCTTACCACATAAGGGCGTGCCATGCTTGATGAACTTTCCGTCTTTTACAGCGGCTGACAACGGTGTTGTACGTTCTAGAGAGTTATGTTCACTTCGCCGCTCTGAACCGCTACAAACCAGCCTGAACAGTAATTCATGAGGTGTAAAATCACTATGTATGACACGCCCTAACAGCCGCTGTGCCAGTTCGAAACACAGGAGGTAGCATGTATGCCTTCAAATCTCCGTGCTGTAACCTCATATCCCTGCTCAAACCTGGCCAACAGTTCAGCAGTTCACCACCTCACCAGCTCACCGAACCAGTACAAATGATGCTCTTTTCAATCGCACTAAACATCTGGTTAGAAAGTACTGAAACGTGTGCAACAAATACAAATGATTATAGGTCTCCAAAAGAAAATCAACGGTCACTATTGGATATACAAGATAAGTTTTGTTATTTGAAATATTGTATCTCATGTTTTGCCACACGCATAACGTCTAAGGGCTCTTTATATACTAATATTTGTTCAATTAATGTAAATATATGAGTCGCTATAATTGATTCATTTCTCATTCTATTCTCATGATCTTTGTATTTTAATGCATGACATGTGAAAATTTATCAGGACATGGATTAACGCAGATAACGCAATTTCTGATATGCACTTTGGTATTGACATTAAGAAACAAACTTTAATATCTGTTTTTGTTTATTCATTCATACCCAAATAAATTAGAGTTCAGTTGTTTATAGCACACGAAAAATGGAAAAAAAAAATATCTCTCAAAAAGTGAGGTCACGCGATTGCTCATGACATGATGGTGAAGGCAGGTGAAAGAAATGGCTGAAGCGTAGTACCCGGTCACATCGAACCGAAAGTGTGTAACAGGTATTCGGTGTATCGATGCTGGCAGACGCGATCGTGGCGTGGATCTGTTGACGCTGCAAAATGTAATTTTCTTGATGAATCACATCTCGAACCACAAATCACCACAGGTGGTCTTGAACTGTAGAATTCTCTTCGCCATCCAACCGTCCACTTGAAGCTGATCGCTCAGTATCTCCAGCTCGACACTCCGGTTTCCTTTCATTGTGTCCTGGCCAGGGCTGTCGATTCAAGGACATTTGCCCTTAATGCCCTGAACATTCCGGGCTATGTTCGGCGCAGCTCGACCATTTTAAGGGTTTGATTCTACTGGCACCCGTGCCAGTGAAGGGCATCGTTTGGCCCTTCCCCGGACGCGTTAAGTGCTCAATCTGGGCCGTCCCCTGAATCTAAGTTCTACTTTCGTTCCGCAGACCACCCCCCTAAAATCTTGCGGAACACCCCCCTCCCCCATACCCCCCTCTCCATGAAAGTTGCACAATAGGGCACCAGGTGGAGGATGTTTCACTCGATTTTTTTCCAATCTAGTGTGTGTGTAGTGTCGAAGTCAGGACATGAGTAGAAATGCAGTAGGTAGTGAAGCTGTAGTTGTAGTTGGAAGTTGTGACATACAGGTTGACTGGAGTGGTTAGTAGTGAAAAGTATGTGATTTTCTTGTCTATAATGCTGTATGGTTAGGTACACAGCACTTGGAGCCCGGATTTCAAGTTACACTTCGGCCTGCACCCGTGACCGTTAAGGGCGAAAATTTGGTCACCTACCTGAAAATCAGGGTCAGAATTTCAGCAGCTGGGGGCCTCAAGTTCTGCCCCCAGGGATATCGACAGCCTTGGTCCTGGCGATAATTTCGTCGTGTGCACTGAAATTGGTGAAAATCGTGGAAAATCAAATTCTGTTGATCGCGTGTAACACTTGCTTGTAGTAGGCGATTGTGAAGCGCACAATGTGCTGTCGGATTTGACACTTCGGGACTTCTTTTCCCATATTTCTAGAGGCTAATTCTGAGCTGCAATAAGCAGTGTGCCTAATGATGAATATTGAAACTAGGTAAGATAGGGAGGGATCCTAGCTTGGCATGCACACGTTGAAGCTATTCAAGTCTGCCTTGAGATTAAGAAGTGGGCTGGGGTCTGCAATTAGAAAAATTAGGGTTGTACGGAAAAATGAAACTACTCGACTCACTGTGAGGATTTATGGAAGTTTTCGTGTGCATGTTTTTTTTTCCATAGCAATGCAAAGGATTGTTACATTTGAAAACAATTCGCAAAGAAACCCAAATATTCGTTATATCCAAAAGCGGATTGCTTTTACGGTGTTGTCGTCTTCCTAAGGTTAACGCCCAACCTGGCCTCATTTGACTGTTTGCGTTCTATATTTTGATTGCTTAATCCTGCACATGATTTTCGCCTAACATCTAGGACAGAAAAAAATTGATAATAATAAACATCTATGGAATGGCATACCCTTTCGACAAGCATCAACCCTTTTTTCACCATGCATCAACATTTTTGTTAACAGGAATGAAGTGTTGGCCCCGCCTTCGCTTGGGCAACGCCGACGACTAGGATGGATGTACGGGCGTAGCAACCGACCGTTCACAGTCGGAGAGCTGCTCGACATGCTTCGTCGAGCTACCGGGAACCGTTCTGGTGTTGCTGTCGACTAGGGAGCTCGACAGCTGCAACTGACTGGTCTGGGCGACGGGGACGTCGACCAGGACCTACAGTTCGGCCGGGAGGTCGACGGAGCAGTACGTCGACCTGACAAGTGAGCAGCGGTCGACGAGGGGAGCTCGGCGACAACCGCTGATGGTTCTGGTCGACGGAAGGGGTCCGTCGACCAGAGGGTAGCTCGACGGGAGTTGTGGTCGACCAGAGGGACCTGGTGGTCGACCAGAAGCAGTGGTGGTCGACTGGAAGCACCTGGTGGTCGACCTGGTAAACTGCTCGACGAGTTCTGCGGAGGCACGCGAACGTCGTCGAGGTTGCGATGGCGCAGGCGACTGCGGGCTGGTATCCCGGAGTCGATATGGCTCGTCAAGCGCAGACAACAGCCGACGAATGCCCAACGAGGCAAGTCGAGCCAATAGTCTGCGCACACCTGCGAGCGTGCACACTGCTGTGTTCTACGGGGCAACGCTGGACAGCCGCTCTGCTGCAGCGTTGGCACGCCGTCGACCTGCTCCATTGGCAGGTCGCCTTTCTGCCGTGCTGGCGCGGCTCCTCTACGCAACGCTGGCAGGCGATCGACTGAGCTGTGCTGGCGGTCGGCCAGGCTAGCAGCAGGGTTGCTAGGTGCCTGATGTAGTCATTGTTGTTGCTTGTTTAATCATTCTGGAATTCCAACTTTTCTACTGAAAACTCTTGCCGTTTTCTCCCGTGAATGTGCAAGCACTAAGGAACCAAGCAAAGCTACGATCACCTCTAGTAGTTCGACTCCCACACACCCACCCCCCTCAGCGGCAGCTGCAACAGTGGGAGACAGGAGGAGGAGGAGCAGGGGAGACCACACACCCGCCACCCCCTACTCGCCACCCCCAAACCCTAACACAGGGCAGGGCAGGACGGCGGGTAGGGAGGTTACGGGGGGGGGGGGGGCGACGCGCGGCCTGCCAGGGCGCCAAAACAGGCGGCAGAAGGGGCGACGCATGCCCCCCCCCCCAAAGGTGGCCCCCCAGGGAGCCGCGACGGGCGACGGGAAAAGAGGGGGGGGGGGGGTGCACAGGTCCCCGGTGCGCCGCGACAGGCGACGGAGCATGGCCGGGGCGGGGACGGGGCCGATAGGGGCGGCGACGGGGCCGCTGGAGGTGGCGACGCGGCCGCTAGAGGCGGCGACGGGGCCGATAAGGGCGGCGACAGGGCCGCTAGGGGCGGCGACGGGGCCGCTAGAGGCGGCGACGGGGCCGATAGGGGCGGCGACGGGGCCGCTAGGGGCGGCGACGGGGCCGCAAGGGGCGGTGACGGGGCCGCTGGAGGCGGCGGCGGGGCCGATAGGGGCGGCGACGGGGCCGCTAGGGGCGGCGACAGGGCCGCAAGGGGCGGCGACGGGGCCACTGGTGGCGGCGACGGGGCCGATAGGGGCGGCGACGGGGCCGCTAGGGGCGGCGACGGGGCCCCAGGAGGCGGCGACGGGGCCGATAGGGGCGGTGACGGGGCCGCGAAGGGCGGCGACGGGGTCGCTAGGGGCGGCAACGGGGCCGCGAAGGGCGGCGACGGGGCCGCTAGGGGCGGCGACGGGGCCGCGAAGTGGTGGCGACGGGGCCGCTAGGGGTGGCGCGAGGGGCCGTGAGAGGGGCCGTGAAGGGGCCGTGAAGGGGCCGTGAAGGGGCCGTGAAGGTGCCACGAAGGGGCCGCGCCGGGCAGCAGGGCAGAGCGCGAAACGCGCTAAGGGCAGGGCAGGGAAAAAAAAAATTAGCGAAGTGGTGGGCCCTAGGAAGGAACAGTCCCAGAAGGGAACCAGCTCTATACCATGTGAATATTAGAACGAGAATGAGAGAAGAGGGGTTTCACTAGCAAGCAGTTGAGTACATATAGCAAACCCTAAATTGGGCTGTACTCACTATTGAGTACCCCACTGCAGGCTAGACAAATTTAACATTCTGACAGTTCGTGCCAACCCCCGTAGTCTAGTTCACTACCGTTGTAGTGTGACTCTCCGCATGGTGCGGTGAGCGTGGAACGAACACACGACCTTCAGATAGGAGTCGACTTTTGCACCTACTAAGTCGTTCGTAGGCCGGCAGCAGCGATAGTCGCCATGGTCGACCCCGTAGTTGATGCGGGTGTAGCGGACACCTTGGAGGCACATTTGGCTGACGCGAGGAGACGCCACGCGGATGGCGAGTACGGGACGATCCCCTTGGTGATCCCCGAGTTGGGCATCCGGACGCAGTG